AAGTCCACACATAGTGTTTGGTATGTCTCTTGCATCCTATCTCCTCTTTACTATTTATTTTTTTAAGAAACTGAGTCATATGTTCCCACAATCTGGATTTAGCTAATTGCATCCTTGGAGTGTGGGTGAGCATATTTCTTTGCCTCTTTCTGTAAATTAGTGTTTAAATCTCAGGGTTTGATTAGATCAGTTTCAAATTTTTGGCAAGTCCCTTGTAGTGTTGTGTATTTCTGATTATATTACATTGGAGACACCTTAATAATCACTTTAGAGAATGTTTAGATTGATCTGTGAGTTTGGGTATTGTTAATTTAATCCATCCACTAAAAAGTCCTCTATCAACTTACATTTTTATGGAATATTAAGTTACCATCAAATATATTCCATACAAGAAAGGAAGGATATGATCTGTAATTTTTTCAATTTTTAAAATAGGACTTTATTCTCTAAAATCCTCCAGAGGTGACCAATGGACTTACACAGATTAGATCAATGATAGGTAGATAGATAGATAGATAGATAGATGATAGATAGATAATAGATAAAAGAACTAGTAGGTTGTATATCTTCAAATATATAAATGTGGTCATTAGTCCTTTTGGTACTCAAATTCTTCCATCAAATTAGCTCCTGTGCCATTTTTGACATACTCTAATTTTGATAGCTTTCTTATTTTCAAGCAAAGGAAACATTCTAATATCATTTTATTCCAAACATAAACTCAGTAAAACCCTTCTTCATTTTAGTGGGAAAATGTGTTTAGAGACCACAATCTGTGCATTAGGGTGCTTCTAGTACTTTCAGTAGTCCAAATGTGAAAATACATCATTAAAACAATTAAATAATGAGTTCATATTGATACCACCAACTCAAATTAGAATTTCAGAATTATATGTTTTTTACATTTTATATTTTTATTTTATGGTAAAATTTTAGCTTCTGTTGTCATTAACAACATAATTAGCTATTAATTTTTCTTGATACATATAATAGTTTAATGAATCAATACCAATATTATTTAACAAGAAAGCCATTTAATATATTTTAAGACTTTTGTTATTTTTTTTTCTAATAGATATATCCTACTGTTTCCTACTAGTCAAATTACTGTTTTCAATATATTTAAATTTATGAGTTTATAATAAAAATAAAAATATTTTTATTTTTCACTTGTGCAGGATACTAGGGGACAATTTCAGTATTTTGAAACTGATAAATTAAAGAAACATCTTGCTTTTTTCATACACAATCTTGTAGTTTATGGTAAACTAATAATTGATTAGGAATGTTTCATTTTTATAAAATATTCCCGCTAATAAATCAAGAAAGAATGATAGAATTAGATCAGCAACTTAACAACTGGTATGTTTTTGGGCAAAGTCCTTATGTTTTATGAGTTTATTTGTGGTATTTATAAGTGGGGATGCTCATTACCAGGCTTTGCCCTTAGGTATCTCCCTGTAACTGAACCAAAATTTCAAGAGAAAGTATATTAGGAATGGTAGGCTAACAAAGGTAGTAATCAGTCCCCAAATATTAATGCCTTAGTAAAATAAAAGGGCTTTTTTATACTCCCATTACATGGCTATGTGATCCTGTTCCATGAAGTCAAACATGATACAGTCCACCTCTATCACTCCATTTCCTTTTAGGCCCTTGCAATGCTCTATATGGATTTTGGTTAACTAAGTGATTTGCTTTGGTCAAAGTTGCATCAGCAAACATGCAATCAGAGGCCTCACAATCGCTCACCATCTTGTTGATCTTGGAGACTTTACCAATGGGAATTTGCTTGTGAGAGTATGAGAAACCATGCAGGGAGAACCAGTGCACCCCAACAAGCCCTGCTGACCTAGCAGCTAAGTACAGATGAATGGGCAGGCCTCACAAGACATTCTGAGCCTTATCAGAAACTGCCCAGATTAACCAAGACCTGTAGAATCTTGGAATGATTGTTGTTTTAAGTCAGTTTTGGAGTAGTTTGTTATTTGGCAATGGATAACTGATACACTGAGAATATAGATGAAGCAAGATTAGCCAAATATAATAATATGATAAAATCAGGTTCATTTTATACTCTTCATTCTTTACATGAATTTCAAACATTCTATAATAAAAAGTTGAAAAGAAACTACTGAATGTCAGTATCATTTGAAATAATTTTTAGTTCATTTGTTTTAATTTCCTTTCAGTGTTTAGAAATTGCTCTTTTTTATTATATTTGATTTTTTAAATTATTTAAAATATTTTTTTCCAAAATTTAAAATATAAATATCCAGAAAGTTCTAGCTTTCATCTCTGTCCCCTCTCCCCCATTCTTTCTCTCTCTCTCCCCTTAGATATCCATTTATACTAGTTGTTACATGACTATTTGGGGAGGTATTTTAGAGATTTGTTAGTGAATTATTTGTGACCAATACATAGACAACTAGGCAAACAGGAAAATAAGGCAGTTATTAATTTCAAGAAAAACTACACTTGTTTGAGAAAAGGAAAATTAATCACATTATGAGATTTGCTATTTGTGAGTGGCATGTATGTTGTCACATCACTGTAAATGGTAGCCATTGATCTAACTAAAATTACAATACAACTATATTGGAGATATGGGGGATAGAAAGTTCTTTGGATGTGGGGGGTAAAGAAAAAGCCAAATTCTTATCTTTATGTTAGTAAGTGAATAAAAAACCGTGTAAATGAAAATAAACCTAGAAGTAGCAGTTTGGACATGCTATTCAGAAATACAAATAGTAAATACCAAAAGAATGAACTAAGAACTAAAAGTCATCTTCTTTGCAGAAGGGTGGTGGGACCTGTTGGTTTTTCATAAGGATCTTTGTTGATTATCTTGTGAGTATATCTTTGAATCCTTACTAGTTGTATGAGGTAGGCTGTTTCTTATAGCCTCATGAAAAAAAATTAATTCTTTGAGAGTTTATTACCTATCTATTGCTGTGTAATGACTTATAGCAAAACTTTGCATCTGGAAACAAAAGATATTATTACTTCATAGTTTCCCTGGGTCCTTGAATAACTTAGATGGGTGGTTCTGGCTCAATCTCTCATGGAGCTACAATTAAGATATCAACCAGAAATAGAGTCATTTTGGTGTTTGACTGTAGCAGTCTGCTTCAGGGCTCACTCACATGGCATGCCCAGAAGCCTCCAAGCTCACTCATGTGGACCTCCTCCAGGGTAGCCTCAGGACAGAGCAGTTGGCTTCTCTGACAGCGAGTGATCCAGGAGCACCCAAGATGGAGGCCACAGCCTTTTTAAAATCTAATCTTGGAAATGCTATCTATCACCTCTATTATAATCTGTTAGAGGCACATCCATCAGCCCAGCCTGCACTCAAAAGGAGGGCATTAATTCAGGAACAAAATTTGAATGCAAGGATGTAGTTAAGATGAGGTATCTTAGGGGTTGCCTACAACAGGAGAAGTGGCTTCTCCCAGTTCCCATAAGTAAGTGTAAGCAGTAGCCTTGTGATGTAGAACCACCCAATTTGATTCCAGGGCTCATGTTCTTAACCACTATGTAACTCTCATATTTGTTGCCTCTGTGGTATTTACCCTGCATGTGAAAGCAGCACCTCCTTTCACACTGTTGCCATCTTGAAAGTATAGGGTGGTGGGAGGGATAATACACATACGAGCTGACTTTCATATGTATGGCGTGCACCCAGGTGTGTTAGGTTTGAGCAAACAGAAATAAGCTATATGTTATGCTCTGTATATATGATGCAAACTATGACTCCCCCATTTACCTCTGGTTCTGAAAGTGTGCATGACTGCAAGAGAGAATTATAGGAGTACAAGGATAACCTTGAATTCACTCTAATTTATAAAAAGTCAAACCCTCTCAAGCTTTAGAACTTTATTGGTAATGAATTATCTGAGGCACCCCTCACACTTGATCATGACAAAGTGCAGCTTCATATTTCTGGGATGGGGCATTATTCACAGGGGCATGTTGGCTAAGGTGAGGAGCTGGTGCTATATCTTTAAAGCTGTTGAGAGCCAGTGAAGTGTTTTAAGCATGGGAGGATGACATAATAGGATATGTACCTGCTCCTCTGAGCTATACCATCTTGTCTAAAACATCAGATGACATTCTACATTCTCATGCATGAGACAGCAGATGCCTCCTTTACATGCCACTGAATTCATTCATGTTACTGTAATGAGATTTATAAGTTTCTCATATCTGTGTATTGGTTAAAGTACCCTATCTCAAGGCACCCGTGTCTGCCTTTCTCTCTGTGCACATAACCAAATTTGTGGCTACAGCCAGGCTGTGAGCTTTCTATGACAAATACTGATTGCCTCATTCATGGTCTGTTGTCAGGTGGCAACCACGCTATTGACACACATTAGGAATTCAGTGAATGTTGTTAAGTCAAAATGGACTCAACTTGATTGGACGTCTGCTCTGTTTTAGGCACCGTACTGAGCTCTGGATGTACAGAAATAAGATAATGTCATTTTATTTTATTAATAAAAAATTCATGACCATATATATTCATTCAGTTTTTCATTCATTAATCAAACATTTTTGAACTGCTCTGAATGTAGCATTGTGCCAGGTGCTGGAACACAGCATCACACAGCACAGGGCCGCCACTCTTACAGCTTCTGTGACCACCGTTGGGGACAGAAGAGTATATGATGATCCTAGCTCAGTACACTGTGTGGGCACAGAATAGGGGCTCATACATCAGCACAGAGAAGGGCCACAATTGAGGGAAGGGGAGATTTTTTTGGAGGAAGTAAACTCTGAGTGGTTCAGAAGAATAGATGTCAGGATGAATGGAGGTGCAACTCCATCAAGTATTGGGACACTGGATTGGTAAGACCTGGGTGGGGGGAGTGGGAAATCAAGGCTCTAGAAAGGGAAGGGATCAACAATGAAAGTAAGTATTAGTAGGAGTTACTGATCCCTCTAAAGTGATATGCAAAACCAAGCAAACCTTCATCTCTGCTGTCTTTGTGTCTTTCCAGCCCTCTACGAGCAATCCTGCGAGGTGTACAGGCACCAAGGGAACACAGCTGGTTTCTTCTACATTGACTCTGATGGCAGTGGGCCACTGGGACCCCTCCAAGTGTATTGCAACATCATAGGTAAGGATCAGAATCACCACTCACTCTTAACCTAGCTATGTGATAGTATACAGCAAAAGGAAGACCACTGGAAGGGGATATGTGTAAATAAAAACTTAAAGAACCAACTTCTGTGTAGGGGAGATGTTATTTAAGTAAATAATAGAAGTTAGAGCTGGGTTATCTTCATTAGAGAGGAAGACTTAATGGTCTTGATCACATTCCGCTGAACCAAGAATTAACTCTGAAGCATTTTCTTTAGAGCTTGGCCAGGACATTTTCTCTCTTAAAATTCAAAAGCAGAAAGAAAGGAAAAACAACTAAACAAACAAAAAACAAAACTCAAAATCACTAGGAAGCCCTGACTCAGGAAGAGGGAAAGTGTGATTCATGTCTGGCCCCGGGCATGGTGTGAACCCCATATGCTTTCTGAGCTTCAGTTGTTCATCAGTGAAATGGGAAAAGTAATCCCTTCCTCCCAGAGTTGAAGATAAGACACAATCCTGAGTATTGGAGGAATTGTCCAGGCTACTTGTCCAGTAGAAGCTTAATAAGAAAAGTGAGCTATTTGCATTTTCCTGGACACTCCTTTCTAAGTGCAGAAAGTCATAGTAAGAATTAATTATTGCACAGATTTAAATACAATATACAATCACTAAGTTATTCTGAAAAATAATTCCTCAAAACCAAAACCTGATGTAATAGTTCCTTAAAAATAGAGCAATGCAAGTACCCTCTCCATTGTGAGTGTCATTAATTGACACATTCACATTTTTGTGTGTTTGTTTCAAGCTCTGGCCTTTGGAAATGACAACAGAATCTTGTAATAAAGCAGAAAAGTAGGAGGGTATTAGGGCTCATTGAGTACTCAGGCCTCAGGCTTCCCTGCAACAAGGCAAGCACATTCACCGAGCTCTTTCTGTAGCCACAGGCTGGCCTGGGCACTGAGGATATGCAGAAAAATAAGACACAGCCACTCTCATTTGTGAGGCAATAATATCAGAAAAAATGCCATGTACTATCACAGGTAGAAATGCAAGTAAACCATTGCAAAACTGGTGATTATGGGCACTTAGTGGTTTGTTCATCTGGGTACAAACAACCACGCTTCTTCTGCAGAAGATGTTAGTTACACAGAATTAGATGCATTTCATTGCATTTTCTTAATACTCCATCTCTCCAAACTGCATATATGCTGGCTGCTTCTCAACTTCCCTATAACACAATTAGAAATTGTGACACTGTTTTCTTTTCTATGTTATGGTAACCTATAGCATTAACATATAGGTGAAGAACTAGTTTTCTCCGTGGATCTTGATTATTTTCAAAATGTAATTAACACATGGAGCTCCAGTGATTCTTGTTAAAAACTCAGACTTTCTAGCTTAAGAAATTGATTTCAGTAAATGCCCTTTTACTGAGTCCCCTAAGTGATTCTGATGCAAACTGTCCCTGGTTTACTTCTCACCAAAAAACAGAGGAAGTGATTTGGCTGCAGAATAAGGGCAAGGGGACCAATGCCTGCTGATGAGAGATCAGGTGTGATTGCTTGTCTCCTACCCACTTTGGGAGCTGAACTGAGAGTTTACAAATACCATTTCTTGCACTCCTCACAATAAAAACCTGAGATAGATATTTTTATCTCTATCTTACACAGAAGGAAAGAGAATATGAGAATTTCATGACTTGCTCGAGGTAATAAATACTGGGACTAATAGTCAAGACTCAGGAAGCAAACAAAAGCTTCTGGTGCAGTAATAATTTATATCACTCAAGCATTAACTGGATACTTTGTATTGCTTATGTTTTGCTTTAAACTGATTTTATTTTTGTTATAAAATAAGTCAATATTAATTATAGAAAATTTAACGAAAAAAGCAAGGTCTGAAGAAATTGTTAAAGTCACCTTTAAACCACAATCCACAGATTGCCATTGTTATTTTATTGTTAGGATTTCCTTGGGATTTCTTTTTTCTGTGAATGCATATGTGTGCTTCTATGAATGTACACATTTTTAAATATATATTTTAAAATCATGAATTTAATAGATAAGCATAGACTTGCCCTTATATCATTAAAATATACTTTGTGATTAAAATATATACATTAAATATGGCTTAAAATTGTTAAACTCTTCAAAATTATGTAAGTACTGACACGGAGGGATTATTGATTCATAGGTCTCATTTACATGATGTACCCTGCCTCTTTGGAAAGACTTTTCTTAGGGCTAATGTATGATATTTTGTCCAGGAATGGCTAAAGAGGAATGCTTACTTGTATTTAAAGGTTGCTATTTTGCTGATGTAATACTGAAGGAATCGGGACCTCGGAGTTGTCCTGGAGTTCCTAGGTTTGATTATGTGTGACTGGGCATTTCTTTTACATATGCTGTTTTGGTTATGTGCAGTTGCAAAACATAGGTTTTTCTTCTTTTTGTGTTTTCCTAAAAGAACTATAAAAATAAAAGCAAACCTCAGTACAGGATAAATTCTATAATTCTCATATTTAACTGACACACATTTTAATACATCAATATAATGATAATCAAACACATGTTTTTCCATTTATAATTGTTAAATGTTCTTAAATATGAATGACTTGTGACACCAGTGAAAGTGTAATGAAGTGGCGCAGGGAAGAGAGGGAAGGAGGAGGGAGAGAGAGAATGGACAAACAGAACAGAAGGAACAGAACAGTGTGGGGTGGGATGGGAGGGAGACTCGTTCTGTGTTTAACTCCCATTTCTGAAAACACAAAGTTGTTGTTCTCTGCTCTTTTCAGCTACATTATTGGGGTAATCACACAGAGAGTGTAAGTGGCACCAGAGGCAGGGGACCTGGGTTCTCTGTCTGCACCTTGCACCAGTCAGCTGAGTGTCCCTGGCCTAGTTGCACGCAAATAAGATCTGGGATCCTAAAATAAGGATGTGGGACCAGGTCTTCCTCATTTAGAATTCCCTGAGAGATCATTTGAGGTTCAACAGAACAAGGGACGTTTCTCCTAAGAAATCTACAGATACTTGCAAATAGGGTGAAGGACAGGTTTTAGATTGGAAAACAGTAAACTCTAATCACAACTGCATCTCTCTTCACAATGTGCCCTAGGTGGACATTAGCTTCCCATTCCTATACTGCAGATGGCACCTTATCCCTCCCAGGAGATTTATGTCTGTGCATCTCACCTAGCAGAGGGTGATCTTGGGGAGATGAGCTTCCCAAATGCTCACAAAGCAATGGCCCCATTCTATGGAAGGCAGCATGATCTCTGCTTGGGGAGAGTATGCCAATTTATGGGAGTAACCTAAGGGGGTGATTAGGCTTATTTATAAAGTGGACTGAATCTGAACCTCTACACATTTTGACAGTGTGCCTGAGTTCTAAGTCGGTTCACCACTGCACTAGTGGGTAGGAGAGAGGGAAGGCTCACTGTGGAGTATTGAGTGAAATTATGGATGAAGAAGATAAAAAGTTTCTGCAGGAATACACAGTTGGCCTACTTCTAACATCTCTATATAAGATTTATAATTCCGTTCAGCTCAATATAAGTTTGCACATTTCAGGCACTGTGAAGACTGCTACGGATACAAAATAGTGTCTGCGTCAGTTTCTCCAGGCTCCTATAACCAATTGAGTGGCTTAAAAGTACCCAGAAGTGTATGCCTCACAGTTCTGGAGGCTGGGATTCTGTCCAAAATCAAGGTGCTGCAGGGCCACACAACCTCTGCACCCTATAGGGGGGAATCCTCTCTTGCCTCTTCTGGCTTCTGCTGGCATGCCTAACCTTTGGGCATTCCTAGGCATTAGCAGCAGTACTTCAGTGACTCCGTCCCCAGATTGTCACCCTGCTTCCATGTAGCCTTCTTCTCTCATGCATCTGTTTCGTCTCTTCTTATAAGGATATCAGTCATATTGGATTAGAATCCACCCTAGTGGAGTATGATCTCATCTCAAGTTGATTACACTTGCAAGGAATCTATTGCCAACAAAAGTCATGCTCACAGGTGTCAAGGGTTAGTACTTCCATGTATTTTTTGGACAGAATTCAACCCATAATGGTATCATTTCAGTCTCCTTCACAGGTTAATCATGGAGAAGACACAAAAGCAATTATAATATGAGGGTCATGGCAGGGTATGTATAGTGTTCTGGGAGCCCCCTGGAGGAACACCTAACCGAGCCTCCTGTACAGTGGAAGGGATTTTGGGTAGGCAGATAATGCATGTCTCTAAGATCTGGATGGGGAGTAGGAGCTATCCAGAAAAAGGCAAAGCAGAGCATTTCCAGGAAGAACAAATGAATGTCAGGAACAGCGTTCCTGCATCCCATAAACCTGCATATTTGTGAGGGCCACCAAACTCACCAAGATGAGTTGCAAGTTTAGAACATTGAGAAATTCATCAAACGGAATGAGTAGGAAAGGATCACATTTACCTGAGTAGGGGCAAGTAAAAGCTGTTGAAGGTCCATAATATGAACTCTAGTTTCCCAGCAAAGAAATCTACTAAGTCAATTCCAGGGAAAAGAAGGAATGTTTTATGATAGACAGTTGTTGAGCGTGCAGACTAGTTGACTGTCCCTGAATGAAAGATGAACCGCTTTCTGAGCACCAGCCAGAAGATGCCATCCTCATATCATGCAAGGACTTTAGCAAGGTTCTCTTATCTTCAGGACAGTGGAACACTCAAAGGGCTTGCTCAAATTAGGGACTGTTTACAAAGGTGTGAGCCTACGAAAGGAAATTATGGGAAGGGGAAGAGCAGAACTAGTAACAGAGGGGTTTTTCCCACCATCAGGCCCATAAAGGTGAAGGGAGGGAGTATTGCCGGAGTCGGAAGGAGGGCAGCATGTGGAGAAGCTGTGCCTTGTGAGAGCTATGATCTCCTGTGTGGGAATAGTTAACTAGGAGCTTGGGGAATGCTCCAACTCTCCTTGTTCTTTCCAGTCTCTTCCCTATGTCTCCACTGAGCAAACCCAGCTAGATTTCAGAAGGCAAGAACAATTGTTGTTCAGAAGGCATCA